AGCCGATAAAGTGGCGCGCGACTTTGCAGCCTCTATTGCTTTGGCATATAGGTTGTCCACAAGAAAAGTTACATTTTCGGATATAAACAAAGATCTTCCTGGTCTGTTAAAATATAAGCAGAGGCTACTAAACTGTGGCAAGAAACCAGGGATCAAGCATGTAAGACGGCACTAAATTGGGTCACAAAGTCAATCAGGCAAATGACCCAAAAAAAGGCACTTGAACGGTGGGAAACAAAAATAGGTAACTGTGAAGTCACACCTCAGGGTATGGTGCCAATTGCAAAATCCCTCCTAAAGAGGGATGGACCAAGGGCACCAACTGCTAGTCATGGTGCTGCAGGCCTTAAATTTCACCCATTCGAAAAAGTCAATGCAATTGCTGATTGTTTGGAAAATCAGTTCACGCCGCACAATCTGTGCAACGATACCCATGAACGGCGAGTGGAGGCTAGAGTTCAAGCTCTGCTCAAAACCATAGATGACAAGCCCCCTCAAACGATCAGACCATGTGACATACAAAAATTGATAAATTCCTTGAAATTGAGAAAGGCCTGTGGAAGTGACGGCATCCCAAATGCATGCCTGAGGCAACTTCCAAGGCGACCATGGGTTCTTATTTAAACACTGCCTTCGGGTCTCTCATTTTCCAAATATTTAGAAGGAAGCAAAAGTACTAACTTTACCTAAACCCGGTAAAGACCCGAAATTCCCGTAAAATCTATGTCCGATCAGCCTCCTGTCCACGACAGGAAAACTATTCAAAAAAGTAATTTTGATAAATGATACACACTCCATCCCAAGTGCAAACAATATATATTATATGTCTTTGATCTTGTTCTTTTCTACACTACATGTTTCGGCCTCTATCGGCCATCATCAGATGTATACTCTTACGTTACTGCCACACTGAACCCAGTCTAAAATTTAACATTTAAAAAACACATTGTTATTTTTGTCGTATTATCAACATCTACCTCGTTGATATGTGTCTGGTATGTAGATTATATTGCACACGNCGAGGCGAGGTAGATGTTGATAATACGACAAAAATAACAATGTGTTTTTTAAATGTTAAATTTTAGACTGGGTTTCAGTGTGGCAGCAACGTTAAGAGTATACACCTGATGATGGCCGATAGAGGCCGAAACATGTAGTGTAGAAAAGAACAAGCTCAAAGACATATAATATATATTGTTTGCACTTGGGACGGAGTGTGTATCATTTATCGTATAGAGTGCAACAGGATGCTGAGATATAATAAAGTAATTTTGAAATTACTACAAAAACATATTGAAGAAAGAAGCTTGCTCAACGCAAGCCAGTTTGGTTTTAGTGCACATCACAGCACGACATTGCAATGTATGAGGCTGGCGGACCATGTGACCCTTAATTTCAACAACAAAATGTCTGCACCCGCGGTGTTCTTGGACATCGAAAAAGCTCTTGATACCACATGGCATTCAGGCTTGCTGTATAAGTTATCAAAATTGGAATTCTCGAACAGTTTGACCAAACTTATTGGGTCCTTTCTTTCTCAGCATAAATTCAGGGTTTCGGTTGAAGGCCAAATGTCAACCCCAAGGGAAATGCAAGCAGGGGTGCCACAAGGCTTAGTCCTCTCCCCTACCCTTTTCAATTTGTACATAAATGATGCTCCCCAAACACATGATGTTCACATGGCACTCTTTGCGGACAACACCTGTGTGTATGTGACAGATTGCAAGGAGGGTTTTATTGTTAGAAAAGTCCAGCGCAGTCTCAGCTCAATGGAGACCTGGTGTGAGCGCTGGAATATTAAAATTAATGAAGATAAGACTCAGGGGCTCTACTTCTCCCATAGTTGTCAACTGCCTGAGTCTTGTCTCACTTTAAATGGATGAAATGTTCCATTTGTAAATAGTGTCAAATATCTAGGTGTAATCTTCGATAAGAGAGTTACATGGAGACTGCACATAGAAATGATCGAAGCCAAGGCCTTCAGAACATTCATTAGGGTATATTCCCTATTCAAAAGTGAGCGATTGAGCGCTAACATTAAAATGACCTTCCACAAAGCTCTCATTAGATCCGTAATGATTTATGCTAGTCCCGCCTGGGAGTTTGCGGCAGACACCCATCTAGTGAAATTGCAGCGCCTGCAAAATAAGGTTCTCCGCACCACTGGCAATTTTCCAAGGCGCACACCGGTCTGCGATTTGCACATGGCATTTAAATCCCGTATGTTTATGACTTTATAACAAAATTATGCAGGCAACAAGCAGAAGTCATACAAAATCATGAAAATGAGAATGTCCGCAACATCGGACAAGGTGAAGCCTGACACAGAAAATATAAGAGGCTTAAAGTTGGCGGACGTCAGGCATATGACCGCTCAAGTGACTAGGCTACTGTGATAGTGAATACTACTAGAAATAGGGCATAATCTGCTGTACCGAGCCTGGATTGACAGAGGCCTTGTACAAGTATATATTGTACACAGAAATAGGAATTAAGATTAAATTGTAAATATATGTAAATACTGACAATGGACTTATTAACACAGACTATGACTGACAAATGAAAGACCCGACCTCTCGTCAGAGAGGTGCCCCAAAGGAACAGGACAGTAACTGTCATATAAAAAAAAAAAAAAGAATTGGGGCTCGACACCAAGACAGACAGACTGACCGACCGTCAGTCGCAATGTGACTTTGACTTGGCCTAATACAGTCAGTTGCAGTCCAGAAGCCATGACTCGAGGACACAAAGCCATCATGGCAGGGAGTTCTGAGGATCCAGCTGTTAAGTGTTAACAGACATTAAGACTTTATGTCTTACACTTACAGTAACCTTGAGTGTGTTATAATTATTTGTAGTTACAGCTTATCAGTATCCAATAAATCAATTCACCAATCCAAACCCCATCTAAAGTCACTAATAATCCCTGATTACATTTCTAAGGTAAGAACTTAGTTTGTAGCGCACTTTCTATACATACAGATTTTGTTGTGACAGCAGAAGGTTGATCCATCCTTCAAGGGGTCGCTTCTTTTCTGGAATTGCCTCCCATGTCTTTCTCCCCAGTATCACTGCATTCTGTTTGGTGGAATCTTTTGTGCGGTTGGTCATTCGTGAAAAGTGTGCCATCTCTATTCTGATGAATACAATTATGTGAAATGTTAATTACATTTAAATTGTTATACAAGAAATGTTTTAGATTTCACAAACCAGAACTATAAGCTACACCTGTATTATTCCTCAAGCCATCATGTATCACCTAGAATCAACACTCACAAAATGATAATTTCATGCTGTGTGTACTTAAACAGCAGCAAACTAAAGTTGCATCAGAAATGAAAAGGTTCATTTCCCATACACACTAATGGAGTTACAGAACCACACCACTATAAATTTGGTTTGTCCTTGTTAGGCCCGCTTACCTTAGAGGGATCTATAGGAGCATCCGCATATCTGCTCTCTTACCATCTGTATTCTAACCTTCCAAACTGTAACTCCATATAGCTTAAATGTTTACAGAAACAAACACATAGCACCCTTCGCGGTTGTGGTTTACATAACGTAAAAAAAACTGTTGGTTATTAAACAGCGTTTTCAGTGTCAAGGCTATATAGCATCAAATGGTAGGTTAGACGATCAATTAAGAGAAATACACTTTGTAGGATGTGGTGGCGACCTAATCTTGGTATCATCTCATCATATCTTGTGCGGGACACGCAAAAACAACAAAAAAAAACCGTCTAACAGGCTAGCCGACGTCCCGGCAGAGAATCTAACCGAGCACCTTCCGAATAAAATTCTAGACCGTTACCTCTCCACCATCTCGTTGGATCCCAAACTTCTGAGGCTTCTGACTTACAGAGAACGTGTACATACATGCACTTTTTTGTGGATCTAAATAACAGAATTTCTCAAGTTACTCACATTCTAGTGTAGGCTAGTTTTAAACACACCTTAATCTCCAGGGCAAATCCCCATTTATACCGATACCCATATTTTCACTATCTGCTACAATAAGATTCAGTTTAAATCTCAGTTTCAACCTTGATGTTTCCATAACTGGTATCTCATAACGGTCGAGAAGGTCGTGCATATATGTTACTGGCTGAGTCTTTTGACTGTTGGGTGTTTTCGGCCTTTTGTGCGATATTTGTTGTTAGTTTCGTCATTCACTGCATTAAGCGGTAAAGCCGTGGTTAATAGTGAAAATAGTGAAAAGTTTCACTTCTCAAGTTCAGAAATTGCATTTATATCACAAGCAGTGGGGTGCAACTAAGACATGAGAAAGGGAAACACGGTAACTACCGTGAAGAATTTGCAGGCAACTAAGCTATCGAAGCAGGAATTAGTG